TATTTTAGCTATGTGTTTTTACTTGTGCAGGTCGAACAGAGAATGCCAAATTGACCAGCATCACCGGAACCAGTGCCAATACTGTCGTCTGAAGAAGTGCTTCCGGGTCGGGATGCGCAAAGAAGGTATCAGAAAACAGCCTAACTGTGTTTTTTATAAGCCGTACAAAGTGTGTGATGGAAAAACACAAACCAGACACAACTCACGCACGCTCTCATGTTACTGTGCACGTCATTTAGAGTTCATGTGGTTTTTCCCTTTAAGTGGAAAAGGAAATGACATCACCAAACATAAAAGTAGTCCTGATCAGAAGTATCAGGAGTACAAGTACAAGTACTTGAGGCCCACACCAATGATTATAACTACACTTTTGTATAATTAAATAAATCTGAACAAAACAACAGTTAAGGTATTTAAAATGACATCAAACAGTTGCTTTTTATTTTAAAATATATCTCTTATTTACTTTAAAAATATTTTCTACTAAAACCTCTAAATTATAGAAATGCAAACACAATGCTCTTACCGTCTTATCTCATTTGTCACTTATTAGTAGACATTTTTTATTGCAACTAATGATTTAGTCTTTTAACTAAATATATGTTAATTAAGGCAACCCGACTGACCCTAACCGAAGTACTTGTACTCAGTCTGAAAAAAAAAACCTAGTATCGGGACATCTCAAGATATAATACTTTTATATGGTATTCCTTGAAGGTGTGCACGTCCCTCCCTGCTTTGCAGTCTAAACCTTTAAACAGAAAATTAGCCTGATCTGTTGGAGCTCAGAGTTTCTGTTGAGGATGACTCTCAGCTACTTACACTCCAAACTGGAGCTCGATATCTGTAAAACTGACTGAGTTAGATCAAGACTTGTGTTTGCTAAAGTGGATTAGCTTCCGTCTTCATTCAAGCTGACTCCAGAAGTAAATCAGCTAAAGATTCACACTCAGCAATTACTTTCTGACAGTTTCAATGAAGCCCGTCCAGCATCCTGAAGTTAGTGCACCGAAAGCAAATAACCTTCTTTAAATTTTAAACTAAACAATTAAAAAAAAAACATTAATTTCTGATGAAACATGCACACAAATACAAAACTGTCAGAATTGGTATTTTCTCAGAGAATGGTCCTAATCAGAAATCTAAAAGCCCCCGGCTGCCGGCACTGATCCGAGCACAATATTTTTACTGTCAACCAGAGCCTGTTTTCACTCTGCTGCCTCGACCCTGCAGCAACAACGCTGCAGGACAACAGAAGACAACCGTGCTTCCTCCTGACAAGAAAAACAAGAAGGTGAATCATTTCACTGACTTTTCACAGAGAAAACAGACTTTTAAACTGAATATGAAAAAAAAAACATTCCAAATCGGTGTCAGATTACAGTCGGTTTACCAAACTGGACTCGTGTTCTGGTGCAATCTAAGCCCACTTGTATATCAGTTGGAGTCAGATGGACATCAGATGCTCGGCCATACATAGTCCACGCTGAGACGGGATGGCAGCATGCCAGTTGCTACCGTGGGCCCGCTCATTTGCAACTATGCTGACTGAAAACCATGACGCAAGTCAAACTGTTTCCACATTACCTGGAAATGTGTGTTTCACCTCTGACCCAGTCAGGAGAGCTGCAGCTCAGGTGGCTTTAAGTGCGATTCTGTCAGCAGACGGGGAACACGAAGGACAGCTTAACCCGACGCAGGCCTTAACTTGGCGCAGATTTTAAATCCTATTAGGAAGTCTTGCTGCTGATTCACTCCATTATTGCATTTGTTTACAGGAGTAGCGGACCCTTAGAGTCTTTAAATGTTCTCTAAAGATCAGTTTCTCAGATGCAGTAATGACTTTATGTTGTGGTTTTGTACTAAAAAGAAATACATTGATTCAAACTTACACTGTATTTGTCAGTTATGTTTGTTCATCGTCCATCGCTGAAGGCGAAAGGCAATTTTGTTTTGTACTGTTTGTCTGGATTATGCAGAAAGTTGTCAATAGATGTAAATCTACGACTGATTCAACCAGTTCAAGATGGCCGCCACAGCCAAGCAAAATTAGCTAACACAAAAACAGCTGTATTTCAGATGATCTTACAGATCCTGAAATAAAGTTGATCATGATCTGTTTTTTGTTTGTTGTTGTTTTCAGAATAGAATTCAAATTCTTACTTCTAACCTACAAAGCCCTCAACAACCTAGCTCCATCTTATATTACAGACCTTATTGTCCCATATTTTCCTAACAGAGCACTTCGCTCTCAGACTGAAGGCTTACTTGTGGTTTCTAGAGTTTCAAAGAGCAGAATGGGAGGAAGATCTTTCAGTTGTCAGGCTCCTCTCTTGTGGAACCAACTTCCAGTTTCTGTCTGTGAGGCTGACACATTGTCCAGTTTTAAGACTTTCCTTTTTGATAAATCCTATAATTAGGGTTGGCTTGTTATGCTGCCATAGGCTTTGACTACTAGAGGACAAATTGACGTAATGTCCTGAAATGATTTGTTAAAATTGAATAGTTTTCATTTGATACTAGTTCTATCTTAACATGTGATTCTCGACCTGCCATTGTGTATCTATTCCTCTCAAACCCAGCTGGTCAAAGCAGATGGACGCTTGTCCTGAGCCTGGTTCTGCTAAAGGTTTCTTCCTCATGAAGGAGTTTTTCCTTTCCACTGTCGCCTTCATGCTTGCTCAAGATGAGAGTTCTGCGATGAAGTTAAACTCAAAGCTCTTCAGATAAATAATGTTAAATTATTATTTTTCTATATGAATGTTTCTGTTCAGTGCCCGAGACGACTTCTGTTGTGACTTGGCGCTTTATAAATAAACGGAACTGAAGTGAATTGTTAGTAGTCTTTTGTGTTTATATGGAAGGGTTTGATTTGGTGATTGCTATTTATCTTTACTTACCTGCCTTCCCTGTGTTTGGTTCTGTTCCTCAGTTTTGCTCCGGCTCCGCCCACTCTCACCTGTTCCTAGGTGTTTGTTACATCTTTTCATTAGTGTTGCCCTTTCCGTGTCCGTTCCTCCTGCATTGAGTGCACTTTGCACACCGTCTGGATCCTCCTAGTGTTTTTGTGCCTCGTCAGCACTTTTGTTTTCATTTAGTTTAACAAAAAAATAATTTGATCCTCGCTTGCACCAAGGTCCATGGATCGTGACAAAGTTTGGCGTGGTAGTGGCTGAACATGATCCTCAACTCATGCTCTGAGGGCTACACTTTTTACATCTTTGCTCAAAGCTTTGACATTAACTGTTATCGGTTAGCAAAATATCTTGTGAACCACTGGACAGGTTGTTGTGAAGCTCTTGAAGTAATCATTGGATCTACATAGATAAATGGAGGTTCTTGGTAAGTAAACGATGAACTCTGTTATCTTGCTGCTGGTCGGTACAAACTACAAGCATTTTCCATTTGATGACTTTTAATCTGTTACAATAATATTTGATCACTTTGTGCTGGGTCAAGTTAAAGACTCGGTTTGTCGTTTGCGCGCTTGGTTTGGATAATTACGAACATTTGATCAGAGCTCGGAGTCGAGAAAAAGCATTAAATAGAGAGCGATGATTCACATTATTAATATTACACTATTACACTTCTTTAATGGCAATGTGAAAATATAATTGAAATGTATTGAAGTGTGAGATGAGGTAGATTTTTGTGTTTTTTTAGTTATAATTTAAAAGACATTTTAAAAAATCCAGTTTTAAATGGCAACCAAAACATTAAGTTTTACCCTACTGTAAAACTAGCGCTGCATTGTAATTAAAGTAATTAAAAGTAAATAGTAGTGAGGTAGTTGTACTGCTGAACGTAATGCTAAACCCAAATAAAACCAAACACACACAAATACACACCGTTCAGAATAAATTAATTATATATGAAAGATTATGGATCAGATTGATCTGATAACACACATTAATGTAAATTGTTAAAAAAGTGTATAATTCACAATCAATCCTTCAAAAAATAGCCACGAAAACTTCTTTAAAGATTTTGAATACAGGAAATTTATTTAAAGTTCCTTTTTTATTATATTCTCCTTATATAATTACAAATTTAATACAGCTTCATTCAAAACAAGTGAAAATTAAGATATTTTCTTGTGTTGAGCTTGTTATGAAGTCAATAATTCATTATTTATTTTTGGTAAATTAGTTTATAAATTGTACTACAGTGGTAGTTTTGATCTATGTATCATATATATTTTTTAAAGAAATACAAACGTGCAGCAAGTTTTACTCACCGTTCGAGTTCTGACGGTGTGTGTTTCTCTGCAGCTGTCCAGCGGGGTCGAATCCCTCCGTCTCACTCAGGCATCAGTCCAAACTCCCTGTCTGGAGGAATCGGAGGTACAGGTCCAAGTCACATTGGACCCGACTACTTCAACGGGCAGCCGGTCTCAGAGCTCATCTCCCAGCTCCTCCGGGCCGAACCGTACCCCAACAGTCGCTACGGCACCCCTTACACCCAGGCCCAGGTGCAGGGGTCTGCGAGCGGAGCCTCCGTCATGGGCATCGACAGCATCTGTGAGCTGGCTGCCCGCCTCCTCTTCAGCACCATCGAGTGGGCCAGAAACATCCCCTACTTCCCAGAACTCCCAGTCTCAGAGCAGGTTGGTCCAGGAAGAGGAGAAAACAAACACACATCTGCTTTGCTGACCTGCTTACAAACAGCTTTTATGTGTAAATGGATTACTGTAAAATATACAATGTGATCACCTTTACATCAGCAGTTCTCACTTAGAAGAAACATCGACTTTGGACCAGCACAACTATAAAATAAAAAACATAAAAATAACATTTAGACAGTTTCTCTAGGAAAATCCCACCTTTAGATAGTATAATCATGGCTACATTACATGTCTAGTCTATCATTCATGCTGACTTGCAGCATGGTTTAAAGGGATCACCACATGAAGCACCAATGTGTCGTCTCAGCTCCAAGTGACCGTCTCCTCGTCTCCATTTCCAGGTGGCGTTGCTGAGGCTGAGCTGGAGCGAACTTTTCATCCTGAACGCAGCTCAGTCCGCTCTGCCTCTGCACATGGCTCCTCTGCTGGCAGCGGCCGGCTTTCACTCGTCTCCCATGTCAGCCGAGCGGGTCGTGTCCTTCATGGACCAGGTCAGGGTTTTCCAGGACCAGGTGGACAAGCTGAACCGGCTGCAGGTGGACTCAGCCGAGTACAGCTGCCTTAAAGCCATCGCGCTCTTTTCTCCTGGTGAGTTGGGCAGAGTGAACTATTAGACGTTAACATTACCAGATTCGGGGAGCCGATGACTCAAGGTTTGACCTTTGACCTTTGATTATGGCAAAAAAAAAAAAGTTTAAAGCAATTAATTTTCATAAATCAGTAGATTTTTTAAAGAGAATGCTCAACAAAAGCCCCAACAAGGGAACTGTTTGATCATAGTAGCATAAAGACAGGAAAAAACAGCTAGCCTAGCTTTATTTAATCACTTTATTTATTCATTTTGGCAAATCTAAACTAATTATAAATAACTTGACGTGCAAAAAGTATGAAGGGTTGTGACATGATGTTGCTGAAAGTTTAAATGTTTTGCCTTTAAAGAGCTTTGCTAGACATTCCCTTTATTTCAAGCCTATGCTACGCTAACTAATTGCAGTGATTGGTTAATGTTTATCGTCCTCTGCAAAAAGATAAAAGCAGAAAAATGTTTTTACTCATGTTCGTTTCTGTCTGTTGGCAAAATATTTAGTTTCTGTGAAAGAAAGTGGCTTTTCATCTAAACCTCCCATTTTATTTAGTCAACCCAATTTCAGATGGTCACCACCGCTAACGGACCTTAGCCACCACGAGGAAACCTCAGCCAACTTTACATATACTGAGTTAAATTTGATCTAGTAGTACCGTATTTTCTGCTGTACACATTGCTCCACCCTATAAGTCGCATCAGTTCATATTTGCCTAATAAAGTGGAAAAATCCATAAATACATCACATCTATTGCGCATCACCACTGACAACCTGGAAACATGAGCTGGTGTTGTGCCAAAAATCGATTGGCTGCCAAATGGCGGCGCGGGAGCGTGCACAGGAGGACTTTAACAAGATTAACACTTAAAAACAATTGTTTGTTTGCTCAGAATTATAGTAAAGGTGCGTCTCAGTCTAACTTTTGCTTAATAAATGCAATTTAACGGTCAAATCAGCTGCATTTCAAAAGCCGATACGCTGAAGTAAACGTGCACACGATGAGTCGCTGTGCAAATTTAACAAAATAAACACATAAAAAACAATTATTTGTTTGCTCAAAATTATAGTAAAGGTGTGTCTCAGTCTAATGTTTGCTTAATAAATGCACTTTAATGGTCAAATCAGAAGAATTTCAAAAATAGTTTTGCTGCCTCTGTGCTCCCGGGAGCACGCAGAGGGAGGAAAAAAGTAGGAGGAATGCGTCTCGTTTCTTCAAAATTTCACAAGAAAAGCACCTAAACAATTATTATTTTTTTGCTCGAAATAATAGCAAAGGTGTGTCTCAGTGTAACGTTTGATTAATAAGTGCGCTGTAATGGTCAAAGTAGCCGCATTTCACTGAGGCGGTGCAGCTGGTTTGACAGTGGGCCCAAGGAGCGAGCAGAACCAAGGTGGGGAGATATGGCAGGCCGATTGTATCATTAAAAGCTGGTGAAGGTTCTCAGTCATGCAGGACATGGTAAATTAAAAAAGTTCAAGAAAAAAAACAAAATTATAAAGTATAATGAATAAAGTCCAGTTGTTTTTGTCGAACTTTTTTCAATTTGTCATTATAGTCCCGTTTACTTATTACATGATACAACGGCATGCCAAACACTACTCTGCTGCCATCAAGTGGCTGAAAGTGGTACTGCTTAAATTTATTTTCAGTCAGAATGAATGAAAACGATCATATCTCAGCCAAAAATTGGTTTATAAATATGGGAAAAAAATCCATAAATATGTCGCTTCGGCCTGTAAGTCACAGGGCATGTAAATTATGCAAAAAAATATATATACGGTAGCTCTTGCGTCCCTCCTCCTCTGTAGAATGTCATTGTCATTACCTGCTTGTGTGTGTTTTGTTTTTTTCAGGCTATCTATCTTGGGCCAAAGATTGAGAGCCTGTTAGGATTTTTTTTTTTTGCTTCCAAAACCTATGTTGTCACTTTCACCACTTTTTTTGTCTGTCTAAACAGGTCTCACTTGTAAAAGTCTTAGAGGCTCAGTGTGATTTATCTGTATAAATAAAGGTTGAAAGAAAGAGCTGAAAGTCCTTCTCAACACATACTTAGTGTGACATATTGTACAAAATTGTATATAAATATTAAAGTTCATGTGAGCTAAATGTGTATAAACACAAAACACCAGGATAATCATTTCTGTTTCTTTGCCTCACAGATGCATGTGGTCTGACAGACCCGGCCCACATCGAGTCCCTGCAGGAGAAGGCCCAAGTGGCCCTGACCGAGTACGAGCGGCTGCAGTACCCCAACCAGCCTCAGCGCTTCGGCCGCTTGCTGCTGCGCCTCCCCGCTCTGCGCGCCGTGCCGGCAAACCTCATCTCTCAGCTCTTCTTCATGAGGCTGGTGGGCAAGACGCCGATCGAGACGCTGATCCGAGACATGCAACTTTCAGGGAGCTCCATCAGCTGGCCTTACGCCCCGGGACAGTGACCTCACTCCTGTCCTCGTGGGCTTCAGAGGAAGACGGACCGAGGTCAGCCTCAGAGGAATCCGAGCTCACAGAGATATCTGAGCACATGTCACAAATAAAACGGACACATCTGAACACAGTAGGTGATATTTTTTACATGAAACGTTGGCAGCACTTGTCAGATTTGCTCTCACCTCTGGCTGATCTCACTTTGTCCTGCTCTGACAGGACAGGGCTCTGATTAAAATGCTTTCTCATGAGGTCACGCGCCTCGTCTACCTCCTCCCATACGACCCCTAACGTGACTGTTTGAACCCAGGCTTTGTGTGTTCTCCCTGCTTTGCTGCGTTGTCCAAAGGAAGCCATAGCAGCCATGTCCAGGACATCCTTGTAAAAGAGATTAATAATCTCAATGGATTTCTAAAGGTTTAAATAAAAATGTTCACTTTAACAGTTGCATAAACTGTATAACGTGTTGCACGTCTGCTAAATGAACTTTAAGCACATTTCTTACACAGAATAAGGTATGAGCGGTGCATTGTTTTACTTTATGGTGTATATGTAAGAAAATGGTTCAACATTTATGCATAAAAAGCAGCATATTTCCATAAATGCTGAGCTTTGCTGTTCAATAGCCCGCACTACGTTGCAAGTTTCCACCCTTCAGCAGTGATGGGAATGTACTCAAGCGCACCCTGGTTGTTCAGACGGTCACGTCCCTGTCAAACATTATTACCTCATGTTTTCTACATCTGAGACAGATTGTATGATGAACTTCTTGTTTGTATAAAAGGGATCAACCAAGGCAGAAACAGAACGATACTTCTGAATAGGCAGAAATGAACAAAAATTGTCTTTAAAATCTTTGAAAATGGAAAGTATAAGTGAAGCAGTGGTTTTTTTGGATGAATTTCTACAGCCTGGACATTGTTCCCTTTCCCTGGATGGAGGTCATTTTCAAATTATTACTATGTTGAATATCCGTGAGGTTGAGGAGTGATATAAAGATGTGTTCAAAGACACTGGTACTTAATGGTTCATGGGGTTTGGTGCCATGAACTTCAGCCCTAAGGTTTGTCTTGCCAAATAAACTGACTGAAACAAGACATTGCAGTGATAAACATGTTTTGGTATGAATTAGGTACTGATCCCTAAGGACTTCTTCACTTCGTGTTAATTTCTTGGAGTTTTAATTTTAGTGATTTGACTGTGTAGCTTCACATGTTAAAGGATCATGTTTCTTTGACCATGCCACAATTAAAAAAATTAAAATCTAAACTCGTTTGACTCGTTATTTTTGCAACATTGAAATAAAAATATACAGTTTTGTAGTTGGTGAGTGAATCGTCTGTTGACTTTGGAAATTCTTGAATTTTAGGTAATTTATGGTCTTTTTTTTCACTGAATAGCTTTTTGATTTTTAATGCTCAGTTCTTAGTTGTTATAATAACTGCACGGTAATCTTTGAACTGAGCACTACATACCCAAAGGTACAGTTAAATGGGTTAAATATTAGTGTAGCAAAAATATAAACAAGTGTTTCAGCTCAGTAAAATGTGGCAAGTACCTCATTTTATAGCTGCAGTTTGCAGTAAAACTAATAGCCACTAATAAGATTAAATAAATGTAAATGGTAAACAGAAACAATTACAAAAATGACTAAATTTATCACATTACTTATTACTGTATTATTTTATGTTGACAGGAAGAGGGCTAATAAAAATAAATAAAATCTATGTTATTGCTCTGATTTTTTAATATAATATCTTTTTGCCGTTTGCAAATATTTCAGCCTCTAGAGGACAAATTGACATTTCTTAATTTCTGTCTCAACATGTGATTCTCAACCTGCCATTGTGTATCCGTTCCTCCTTCCTGTTCCTCTCAAACCCAGCCGGTCAAAGCAGACGGCCGCTTGTCCGGAGTCTGGTTCTGCTAAAGGTTTCTTCCTCATGAGGGAGTTTTTCCTTTCCACTGTCGCCTTCGTGCTTGCTCAAGATGAGAGTTCTGCGATGGAGTTAAACTCAAAGCTCCTCAGATAAATAACGTTATTAACTTACTTTTAATGTATATGAATGTTTCTGTTCAGTGCCCTGAGACGACTTATGTTGTGGCGCTATATAAATAAACTGAATTGAAAGTTTGAGTTCTTATTCAATTTCATGCATCTAATCTGAACAGATTTTTCTGTTGTGACAATCTGAGATAAAAGGTGTTAATTATGTCATGAATACACTAAGTATGGCATCAGATTTTCTGGATGGGGCAACACGAAGTTTTGTGGTGAGAAAACTGAAATAGCTGTAAATCTAAGACCCACCACTAGAGGGCAGCACCGGTGTGAGTGGCTCATTGAAGTTCTTGGGAAGTGTCCCTGCTCCTCCTGCTGGAGCCTCTGAGCATGAGACCATATCTCCACATCAACACAAATCAAATTGAATAAAAACTGTCATGTTGCTGAGAATTAAAAAAAAAAAAAGGAAGTTTATTATGTGCTAAATTAATCCTTTTTAGATTACATAATTTATAGAATAAGTGTACAGTTACAAAAATGTTTTTTTAATCAACAAAGAAAATAAAATCCTTACAAAAATAAATGGCTCACAAACAGTTTGTAAAATGTGAATAAAACCCATTGTAAAAACACAAATAATGACAAATCAAAAGTGAAAAAAATGTTTCTGTTGTGAAAACAAGATTTGAGCAAATTTAAATGGAAAGAATACGATGAGGAGTGTTTAAGACAAATTATTAAAACAGTTTGATTATTTTAACTATGTTGCAAATCCTAAGCTCATTTTGAAACAAATAAAAAAAGACAAAAGTCCTTAGTATGTACTAATACTTATAAATCGTATGAACAGCTCCATCAGTTTAAAGTATGTACACTACAACACAATATAATTCATCGGCCAGTTTCTCCCCTTTTTGGTCTCGTTACATTTGTGACGATCATTATAAAACACTTTGATTAAAAACTGTACAGTGTTCCCACCAGTAAGGAGTTCTTTGATGGTAAAGTTAGTTGAGAATACTGACGATGACGTAAAAAAAAGAAGAAGCCACAGTTTAACACAGCTGAAATTCTGCTGACAAGCGATCCTCGTTACATTTCCCACTCATGACTACATCCCATCGATACTGCTCCCGTCTCTTATCTGTGCAGATAAACCAAACGCTGTGCGAACACAGCCATAGATGTCATCTCAGGTGACCGATAGATAAACAGCGTTCCTCCCAGCAGCCTCTGACCCTCAAAAAAGAAACAGACTCCTGAATAAAATAAAATAAAAAACAGGCTACAACTGAGAGTCTTGCTTGTATTTTTCTGGGAAAATGGTAATGTTGTGAGTGATCAGAGATTAAAAAAACACAATTAGATCCTTATTTTGATCCTGTTCTGCGTGTGTGTGCTGTAACTTTGGTCTCGGTGTGTCCCGGTCTTTGCAGTACTTTGGAGTGTCTCTTGGCTGTGAGGTTGTTGCTGTGTGATCCACCGTCAGCACGGAGCGGTTCAGTGGTTCAGTGGTTCTTGTCGTAGTCCTTCACCATGCGTTTGATGTGGAACAGTTTGTGCCTCAGCCTGCGGCACTCTGTCTTCTTCGACTGATAATCTGACGTCTGCAGAGCACACACAACAGAGGAAGACGTTTACAAAGATCAATTTATAAGCAAGCAATACTTACATTTAGGAAAAACAAAAAAGAAAGAGCAACTTTTGGTGATTTTATGATCTTTTATGGCATCAACTGTGTCTTGATGCTGCCATTAAATAAAAAAATAAGTTAAATTTTCAGATTATTTTTAAGACAAAACATTTTGACAAAGTTTGCTCACCTGTTTCAGATCCTTCAGCTGATTATACTCCTCGGCAACGGCCTAAAAGGAATAACAAAAATACCATTTATTCTGATTATTCTTGTTTTAAATACGCTTCTGTGCAACGAGCTCTTTGACAACCAGTCATTTGTTGTTGTTTATTTGAATGTAATGTTTTGTGTGTCTGTGCTGTTGTACAGCCAAATGAGATAAAGGGCTGAGACTTTCCTGCAGTATCTTTAAAAAAACTGCTATCGGGTTAAATTTGCCACTTTTTACTTGAGACAAATTCAGTCATGTCAAATAATTTATAATATAGATAAGGTAATAGGTGCGTCAGTATCTTAACTGTAAAAAACATTTATTATACAGTCCAGTTATTTCTGCAGCACATTTAAAAACAATCCTCACTAACCTAAGTGCTGTTTGACATGTAAATATAAAGACAATACAGGTGAGCTTTAATACAAACAAATATAATAAAAAAAAAATATATATAAATTAAAATAACTAGGTGGCACTATATGACTCACTGTAATTTGCTTTAAAATTGTTCTGCTCTCAGTGTTTAACATTGTTTCTGTCTAAAACAACTGGCTGAGTAATTCTTTCTTTCAGAACACCGAGTCCTCATAAAAAAAACCCTCACAATCAAAGAGTGTGATGAAAAAGAAAGTCTGTATCTGCTGGTATTTGATAAGATAAATACTAACGTGGCAAAATTGTTCTGTAAAATGTGACACATTTCTGTTTTTGTTGGACGGGTGAAGGACGAACAAACTAATTACATTTTTCTTTGTAAAAACACTTTTTTTTTCTGAAGTAGCATGTGAAGCAATAAAAATATGAAAATAAAGTGTTAGCAGCGTCAACTTAACAGTAGTTAATGCAGTAAAAAAGTGCCAGAATCATTTAGTTGCAGGATTGTTTTTAATAAACCTAAAATATCTAACTGTCTGGTTTTCCACTTTAGTTGTATGAGCATTAGATTTTAGTTTATTGTCGTATAAAAAACATGTTACTGCTGCAGGTTTGACTTGGACTGCAGTGAAAACAATTAAAAAAGCAGATTTCAGCTGAAAACACACAAATTGGCAACATCCCAGAGGGTTCACAAGCTTGATGTATTTTTGTTTGTGCATTTCAAGGTCACTATTTAACAATTAGAACAACAAATAAAGTTAATGTTTTTTTATTTTATGTTTTACTCTTTTAATCATTAATACTGTACTTTCCGCCTTAAAAGTCACACCACCATATAAATCGCATCAGTCCAAAACTGTCTAATAAAGTGGAAAAAAAAACCCACAAATGCGTCATTTTGCCGTATAAGTCGCATTTATTATTCGTCACCGCTGACCACCCGGAAATGTGGACCAGTGTTGTGCCAAAAATCGATTGGCTGGCAAAATGGCCGCCACGGGAGCGCGCACAGGATGACTTTAACAAGAATTTAACAAGATTAATACTTTAAAAAAACTGTTTGCTCGAAATTACAGCAAAGGTGTGTCTCAGCTGAACTTTTCCTTAATAAATGCACTTTAATGGTCAAATCAGCTGCATTTCGTTTGCTCCAGGAGTTCCAGAGTGAGACGAAGGTGGCCATATGGCAAGCCAAGTGTCTCATTAATAGCCACTTTTACCTATTAATGAGACACTTGGCTTGCCATATTACTCGAGGGCACTCTAGCGGCTGAAAATGGTAGCGTTCAATATTTTCCATGTCAGAATGAATGAAATCAGATCTCAGCCAAAAACTGGGTTAAAAATATGGGGAGAAAAAGTTAAATTGGTCGCTTCAGTGTATAAGTCACAGGACTTGGTAATTTATGCAAAAATGTGCGACTTATAGTCTGAAAAACACGGTATACATGGCAGACAAATGAAGAAAATGTTAACGCCGCCCACACACTGAATGACTGAAGTAACAAGCACAAATACAACTCCTAAATGTTCTTAGCTAAACACAAGTTTATTCATTCAGATGACTCAGTTATTCATCTGTATTTTATAACTCTGGCTCATCTAAAGTGCACTGGGTCATAAAAACACAAAGGGAGGTGTCCTAAAGTGGTTTCTAGAAATGAAATAACATTTAGAATTGATTGCTAATTGCATACCTTTGGACAGAAGTCATGAATAAAAACAATTGTTGAGTTTGTCTGTACTGTCAAGTTAATTGGACTTTTGTCTTATACACTTAAACTAGTGGTAGTCTGGGTGTTCCAGCCCGGGAACCACTGGTCTAGTTGTTCAGCTGTTTACCGGTGTGTGCTGTGCAGTTTTTATCCAACCTGGTATTTGATCGAGGTGTCATCAATCGTGTCCAGCTGCCAGCTGAGCTTGTTCAGACGATCGTTAATGTCGTCCATCTCGGCACACAGGTGCTTGTACTCGCGCAGGTCTGCGTCGAACTCTGTCTTATACTCGTGCCGCTGAGCATCCGATGCTATTGCTGGGTACATTCTGGACGAATAAAATATGAGAGGAATGACAATCTTAAGAGTTCCCAGCTCTCGAGTGCAAAAACACCGTGCGGTGGGTTCAACTGTAAATGTTCCTTTTAGGAGATTTATAGCGGTTTGAATTTGATGACACAACAATTGACAAACTTGTGCTTGTGTACCAACGTTCCAACACTTTATATCTAAGAATATAAGGCATTTGAAATGCCGTGTCATTTCCCAGTGTGTTGTTATGTGTTGCGTTAACATTGTCTGCGCTGCCACTGAATGAGAGTTGTCAGAGAAGCAGCTGAAAGGTGCCGTTTGTCCTTGTAGAGTTGCTGTGATTGAAACAAGTTGCACTTTGACTTTCCATCTTTTCTTCACTGAACTCTGAAGAATACATAACTTCAGACAAACGCTACAGTTATCATAACACGGCTACTTTAATAATGACTTTGAAACGTTTCATTTGCGTGTACATCTTTAGTGCTCAACGCTAATCGTGTTGGTTTTTCGATTTTACGTTAGCATCTATGCTAATTGAGTGTTTATTCATAAACCTGATAATCACAGACAGATGATTTAATAACAGCATCTCAGCGTTCTCTTTTGTAATCCAATCTTAATTTTAACGTCCCACTCCTCGTTGATGTCTGAACTGCTACAGCAGTAAATCCAACTAGTGTCGTCATGTAAGATAATTTTACTGAGCCTATAATTTTAAATTATTGCCCTAGAATGCGGGTCTGGACTTCAGGGAGAAACAATATTTGCTCTGATCTACATGTTTAATTCAAAAAGTGTTCAATACAAAAACAACTGGACTTTATTTGTAACAGAAGACGTTTCGCTCCTCATTGTCAACATTGTCATCCCTTATGTTGCTGGAGTATCAGAGAAATTCAGAAGGATCTTCAACAAACACAAGATCCCAGTACATTTCAAACCCAGCAGGACTCTCAGACAGAGGCTGGTCCACCCTAAGGACAAAACACCCATACACAAACAAAGTGGTGTAGTGTATGCGGTCCAGTGCAGCGAGGACTGTCCAGACCTCTACATTGGAGAAACTAAACAGCCTCTTCACAGACGCATGACTCAACACAGGAGAGCCACCTCCTCTGGACAAGACTCAGCTGTTCACCTCCACCTCACTGATAAGGGACACTCTTTTGAGGACCAAAATGTGCACATTTTGGACAGAGAACACAGATGGTTTGAGAGGGGGGTGAAGGAAGCAATTTATGTAAAAAGAGAAAAGCCGTCTCTTAACAGAGGAGGAGGCCTCAGATTTCCACTTTCAAAAACATATAATGCAACTTTAAAACAGATTCCCAGCCGGTTTTCACACCTGATGGGAACAGAGGGGCCTCGACTGTGAATTAGAGGAACAAAGACCTACTGTTTAGGTTTTTAGGTGTGAACTGCCAATCTACATATATGTGTGTGTGTGTGTGTCTTATGTGTGTGTGTGTCTTATCTCACTCAGCCTTATAACCTGTATCTCTCACTCTCTGCTCTTTGAATTGAGAAAGCTCCTCGGATGAGGAGCGAAACGTCTTCTGTTACAAATAAAGTCCAGTTGTTTTTGTATTGAACACTTTTTGAATTCATCATGTCCTGGATGACTGAGAATCTTCACCAGCATCTACATGTTTAGTTCTTAGCTAACAAATCTCTAACCCAAGCAGAGACTGAGAAGCTCCATAAACGCTCTCAGAACTGTAACTCTCACCTTTCCCATTCTTCTACGTCCAGTTCGTTGCCCGTCTCTCCTCCTGTGGTGTATTCTGTTTCATACTGAGACTCGTCCAGTTCTGGGTTACGCCTGCGCCTCTTGCCCCTGTTGGCTGCGGGTCTGCGGCCCCCGCCTGCTTCCTCTGAGGGGCTGGAGCTGGTCCTGCTGTGGAACAATGCTTCAGATGGTCGGCTCGTCGTTCTCTCTGAATACCTGCGGGATAAGTAATAAGAGATGAGCGCAGCTCTTCAAACTGATGCGTCATTTCGTTCGTTTGTTATCACCATCGTTACTTTTATCGTTTCTAATAATGCAGCAGGACCTAAAATCAAAGAAAGTGCATTTGTGTGGAGATATTTTGCTAATGTATTCAGTAATAAAACACTAACTTCAGAGCTGTTTATAATGAGGATTAATCCAGTACATGATCCTTAAACGTCGCATAAATCCTTTCAATAATAAATTTCACCTTCAAGAACAAACAAAGGCAAAACAACTCAAACAGCTTAGGCACTAACTTAGTCCAAAGTGATGCCATATGGACTTTTTGAAAGATTTTTGCTGCTCGCACCCTTCAATCTGACTGCGCCATATGGAGTCCCTCAGCAAACAGGAAGCAGGTACAGCTTTTTAATAAGTCCTGGACAGAACACTCAATTTCGTGGGTTTGTAGGGATTTACGGAGGAATCCAAATCCAATGGCACAGATATTAAAGGTTATTATAAAGCAGTGAATTATGTGAAGAACAAAGCACACTGCAGGTCTCCGGGCGAACATTCCTCTTCTTATGAGAAAGCAGCTCTGTTTACTTTGTTACAGAGAAACCAATACATTTTTTTTGTACTTCGAATAGAGTCAAAACTCAAGTTTGTGTACAAACTGTTGCACTTTGTGTTTGTCACCAGCACAGAACTAGGTAATTTCTAATACACGTGGACTTCGTCAAAGTAATAAAGATGTTGTGTAACTAAGGAAGTGTGCACGACACGGTGTGTGTCCGCAGTTTTAAAGCCCCTGAGACAAACAAAAGAAGGTGCTGAAGAACTCATTCCTCAATTTGATGTAAAATAAATACAGCTTTTCCTCAAACATCCAGCCTACTCTCCTCCCCAGAGAGTTGAGGAGAAGAAGAAGGAAAAAGAGTTAATCCAACAGAGGCTCAAAGGTCACAAACAGCTCTCGGTGCAGGCAGGGCAATATGTTTTTATGGTCTTTAAAACAGAGACGTGATTAGAGCCGCTTGTGCAGGTCACATGTTCGACTCACTGTGGGCAACGCTTCACTGTTCGCAAACTCACGTTACTCATTCACTTTATTACACCAGAGTGTGTGTTGGAAATGATTCTCAGCTACTACCACACCAAATTATAACACAATAAATATAAAACTGACTGAGTTATAGACATTTGTTTTTGCTTTTGAAGGTTAGTTTGTCAAGTAAACATCTGATCAATTACTTTTTGCATGTTTTATTAAACTGCATCCAGTGGTTCATATAATCTTTTTCAAATATTCATATTTAAATGTACAGTAGTCCCTCAGTTATTGTGGGGGATCTGTACGCTGATAAGTGAAAAACCGCAAAGTAGAATAGTAGTACAAGTAGTTGATTATTGTAGTATTTAAAGGCATTTTAAACCCTTCCCACACTCTAAACAATGTTTCTAAACTCTAAACGCTCGAAAAGAGCACAACATGTCATGATCTCTGCTCTCTGCCACCTGTCAGCGCTCTTGGCCACGCCCACTTCTCTGCTGCAGAGAGGAGATATGACACGCTGCAGGAGGGAGCTTCTCCCTGTACATGTGGGATGCACAAATGTGCAGCAGGTTCTAAATACTTTAAAATAATTAATGTTAAATAAAAATTCCATCTTGATCGTGGAGCTCATCCATCAATCAGCCAATTACGTACCATGTCCAATCTTATTTTGAAAAACCGTGATAGAGCGAGTCCGCGAAAAACAAACCGCAAAGTAGCGAGGGACTACTGTAATCTTTTTTATCAATATTTTAGTAACACACACAGAGAGTTTTGGCTTTTTTGCAGCAGCAATTACGATGAACACATTGAATTGCACCTACTCTTTTTTCCTTTTCCAGAGATTTTTAGAATATTTTTATGGATTAATGTCGTGCTCAAGCTAGTTTGGGCAGATTTGTGCAATCACATCTTATAATGCTTGTGATAATTGTGTAAACACATGCTGGCAGGAGCTAGTAGCTAACATGATAGTGAGTGATATGCTTTTGTTGCACTGTGACTGTGTGTATGTCTTCTGGGACATTTATTCAGCAAAAATGTGCTGCAGCAGTTAAGTGTAGACTTGTGTAAGACAAAAAAATTGGGGATGCATGAAATTATCGGCATGGTATCGAACGATATTAGCGGTAAAGTTAAATATTGGCCATCAGCCATTCCATCAAAGTAATTCAACAATATAGTGTGTGTATATATATATATATATATATATATATATATATATATATATATATATATATATATATATGGAGAAACCAAGGAGCTGTCAATGGTGAGGGAAAAACTGTTGACTTTGGATATGGATTTAGTGCCGATGAGTAGAAACTGTTTTCTCACTGTTTAATTCAAGTAAGTTAGACGTAATCCAGGATTTAATTTCAGCTAAGCAGGAAGTGAGGGAGGAAGGAAGAAGTGAAAAATTAGGTGCAGTGGATAAGAAGAGCTGGGTGTCGTCGGCAAAACAAATGGAAGTGAATGTTAAATTTACAGAAGATATTGCCAAGGGGGAGAAGGTAGAGGATGAAAATAAGGGGCCCCAGGACAGAGCCTTGGGGAACACCTGAAGTCACGGGGGAGGAGTGGGATCTGAATGATTTAAGTTGGATCAACTGAATGTGCCCAGAGAAATATGACTTAAACCAAGCGAGGGGAGTGTGGGTGATGCCAATGAATGAAAGTCTGCAGAGAAGGATGTTGTGGGAGATCGTATCAAAAGCTGCACTAAGATCAAGGAGGACGGGAAGAGAAAATAAAACAGAATCTGCTGCCATGAGAAGAGAGTTAGTGATTCTGAAGAGAGCAGATTCTGTGCTGTGACTGGGGCGGAAACCAGACTGGAACTGCAGTATTTTAATTCCACAGCAGAGAAAGCTGTGTAGTCTCTGTAAGTAGGTCTAGGAAAAAAAAAATATCGGTACTGATATCGGTTATCGACCAAATAAATTTTAACATATTGGCATATGGAATATCGGCCAAAAATCCAATATTGTGCATCCCTAAAAAAGAGACAAGAAAATACCACTTTGAATTAAAGCAGTGTGCAGAACATAATAAATTCAACTTGGATGTCTTTGAATAAAAAAAACATTTGAGTAAGATTCATATCCTGTATGTTTAAGAGTTGCTCACTGGGACATTTCTGTTTTTATTTTCAAACATGACAAATCCCATAAAGCTGTAAACGTCTGAAATATAAAGCATGGCCACCTACTGGTTGTCGTCCCCGTTATAGGAGCCGTTGTCCACCTTTACTGGGGTGTAGGAGGCGACGCTGTTTGCAGAGGCGTTGAGCAGCCCCCCTCCCTTCTCCGTCACCAGCAGGGTTGGGGCGTCCTGAACGCTGCGGCTTTCATCCACATTGTTCACCTAAAGGGGGGAAAGAGTAAAAACTCAAGGAGCAGGCTCAGCAAAAACAAACACGTGCAAGACTCACAAAGACCAACCCACGAGCTTATTGACACAAATCCTGTTTTTAAAAATATTTTTTTTTTATTGTTATAGGCCGATTAAACATCATCTAAAACCATCTTTAATAAAAGCAACAAAACCGTGGATGTTGATGTCTGAGAAGCAGAAAGACCTTCCTTGTTTGCATTGGGGTTAATAATTGTTGTGTGAAAAGGCGAAAGAACAGACAAAAGTTTGTTAATGAAGTTTAAGCATTCAGACAACTCCTCTGCTGGTTTTCTGCTTGGTTCGCGGTGCCGCAAAAAGACCAAGCGAACAAAAACAAACGACATCTACAGGTTAGTTATAAATGAAACAGACGCCAACTCTACTTCCCCTACGTCTTTTGTCTCATGTTCAGACGAACACCTGGAACAAACCCTCTCTTCCTTTCTGTTCTTAAACAAAAGGAGTCTCACGTGTAAAAACATTCACCTCCGTCTGTTTTTACAAGTCCTTCCTGTGAGGTCCGAGAGCCTAAAAGGCACAGTTCCTCACAATGAGGCCTCGGGGTTCGTCTGCTCGATGCAGTAAGTTCGTCTTCTGATGACTTTTATATGACCTCCACACAAGCTAAAACTGAAACAAATACTAATCTCTACTAATCTCTCTCTTTGCAATCTCCACGGATTGTCTGGCACAAATATTAGCAGGGACTGGATCTGGATAAAGGTTAGAATTGAACACTTAACTCATTTAAACTTATGAAGCGGGTGTTTTTAAACTTGTTTTTCAGTGGTTTTGTTCATGCCACACATTCCTTCAAGTTAAAATGTCCACACAAAAGATTCAGTTCAAACCATTCAGTTTCATTCTCTTTAATCTAAGACGCGCAGGGGTCAGGGGTACATTTGGACATCTACGTGAGAAAAATAATAAAAATTTTTAAAAAACTGGCACTGGTTGTACTTCTTGCTCAAGTATAAAAATATCTACAAGTTAGAGATTATTGTGGAGTACAGCAGGGTGGGAAGCTTACCCCGCAGGATTTACAGATAGATATTACGATGCAAGAAAAAAGATAATCCTAAAGGTTTTCTGTCCGTTGCTGATAACGGACTCATGGGTCTGATAAAAAATAAACCCCTTAATGCAAGGGATAAAAGGTAAATGGACTTGGACTTTGCTTTTATGGATTCTGACTAGGAACTGATCAGGAAAGTCCTAAAATGCAACAATCTGAAAATTTGCATTCAAATACTTTGTACTACAGAAACGTTCGAATAACGTAAGTAAAACTATTTAGGATCAAGTGTCACAAGTGATGCTGAAACAACACATGCATTATCGGATTATCTCAAATTATAAATAAACGTATAAACGTTTGTTGGAAAGATGAGGAGCCATCTTGTGCATAAAAGGATTTCATCACATTAAAAACCAAAAAAGAACAAATAAAAAACTTTTCTCAAAATTTGTCAGATGCTGTGTTAAAGCTTTTTTTTTTTTTTGGCGAGGAAAAGGTGTATTTCTAATACATAAATTGTTTTAAACAATCCCCTTTCTCCCAAAAACAATAATCATGATGGGCGGAGCTGAATATGTGAGAGCTGCGGGAGAATCCTGTTTTAGTTCACGTAAAAATCCCAACAACGTCCTCTCAGGGTGCAGAAAAGCATCCAGTCAGCTGAGAGCAAAGTGTAAGAACCTACTGAAGGAAACGCAAGAGGAAACATTAAAAAAAGAATAATTCAGACTTCTGGGAGAGGCTAATAGAGTAGCAGAACAATAAAACAGAAACAAAGAGCTGTGGTCTTTTACAAACTCAAAGCGTGGCACAAACAAATAAAATATTCTTAAATAACTAACAATTATTGAAGACGTGCTTCAGCGTAAACTCAGGTGACATTTTTTTTTGCATCTTTTACACACAACATCCCATCATTCAAGTTCAAGGTTCTTTATTGTCATTTGCATCACACGTGGTACATGAGGTGGAATGAAACTGTGTACTCAAGCTCCCAGTTACACTCAAAAATAGCAAAAATCTAAAGTATAAAAAGAAACAGGGTGCCACTTCACAATAAAGCTCCTCTTATAGATGGCTATAAACAGTTTAAAGATAAGTCATTAATTCATCTCCAAACACTTTATAAATCATTAATAACTGCTTATTATGCATTAATTAAAGGTGACAGAGACAAAACTGACCAGTTTGTTGCCAAATAGTGAGCCAAATCTGTTCACCTATATATTTCATCTAGAGTTGTTAAATTAAACATTTCAGACAAAGTTACTACCTTGTGAGAACAATAAGCATTTGTACACCCATTTCTTTAGCATATAATATTGTACTTTATCACTGCATTATACATATCTACAACTAATATTATATGTTAAAAAAAATAGGTTTACAAATGCTTATTGTGCTTACAAGGTAGTAAATTAGTCTGAAATGTTTAATATAACAACTCTAGATGAAATATATAGGTGAACAGATTTGTCTCATTATTTGGCAACAAACTGGTCAGTTTTTCTCTCTGTCACCCTTAACTAATGCATAATAAGCAGTTATTAATGATTAATCAAGCGCTTATAGAGGAATTAATAACATATCTATAAACTATTTATTAGTCATCTATGAGAGGAGCCTTATTGTAAAGTGATACCAGAAACAGTAAACAAGGATCTAAGGTATATGCTAGATTATCATCTGTAAAATTACAAACTCTTAATTAACTAATTATTTTTGCATGACAACAAACAGCTAACATTTGTTGCATTTTTGGTGATTGTTGAATACTTTGAATGAATATCCTCTCAGGCAAATACTACCCTAGAAGGACTTTTTTTTTTTTTTTT